GAGGAAAACAGGCAAAGCCCAGGCAAAGAAATCAAGGAAATAATTTTTCAGTAACAAACATCCATAGCTAGCTTTAAGAGGTGAAATTTGTTTACAATGTGCAATTTTATTCTTAATTTGTTTTTCAGTTGTATTCCCATTCATTATTCCTCTTTTGGTCAAGATGAACGTCAGTTTCTTCCCCAGTGATGCTGTAGATTTCTTTATGAGATCCATCTCCAAAATAAAGCAGGATCGTGAAAAGAACACTCACAAGGTAAACAAGCATGAATTCGCCAGCAGTTGTGTCAGAAAATACACTGAAGTGAAATATAACTAGGGTGATGATATCAAGGGTGATGCCAAAGTACAATGACTCAAGAAAACCCTGGATCTACTTAAGTGTAAACACTTGATTTTAATACTGCCTGAAAAGCCTTACCTGACTCGTCCTGGCAGGGAAACAAGTGGACTTTGTACATCCAAGATCTGAAGCTAAATCTAGATAAAGGCTCAGCAGAATTGCGTTGGGCTTGAGTTTGCACAACTTGCAATAAGTCAGACTCTCCGAAAAAGATTAGGTAGAGGATAAGAGAGAGCAGAGTAAGGCAGCACAAGAGCGGCAGTACCACCTTTCAAGGTTGCACCTTCCCCTCTCACTTTTCAAAAATGGAAGATGCTTCCTGGCAAAATTCTGCCTCTTAGAGTTTGAATCTCTTTCCTGAAATTCATTTGAGACACTGCTCTCCCAGTCAATGGCTTCACGAAAAGGACAGACAGATTTCCAAAATAAAATGTCAAGTGCTTTGTTTTGCAACAAGGAAGTCATCAGAATTTTGGGGATGCTTTTAGTTTAAAAATTGTGCTTAGGCTATGAAATTTGCTTATTCGAGCCCTCCCTGAGGGACTTGTCACCAAAGAAACTCTCCTGCTTTTCTTCTTAGGGCAGAGTAGATTTTCTGCAGCTGATGATCGAATCCCAGAACTCAACCAGTGACAGGAGCAACGGAACAAATCACTCTCACAAAAGTAACGACATCCAAACACTCATCATGGGAACAGGGGCTATGGGAGTGAGGAGAATATGAGGAGCTACTTCCCAGAGAAAGGCTCAATGGGTCGCCACCATCTCCACTGACCAGCTCCGGACAGAAGTCTGTCCCTCGTTGCCAGCACCGGGGCTAGGGGGAATCCCCCAGGTCCTTTGCCAGGCAGTAGGACTGCTGTGTCAGTCATTGATACCCAGGAAATCATCTCTCTCCTCTATCAAATGACTTTTTCTGCACAGAAAGCAGAGTAGCTATAAATGTGTTATTAGAAAACGACCATGACAAACCTGCCTCAACCCCACCTCTTGCTACCCATTCCTTGCTGACACCCTCAGCCAACACCGGTTTTGCTCATCCCCCCATGCCCTCTTTCCTCACAGACCTGACCGACAGCGAGGTCCTGTCGCAAGCGTTCATCTTTATTTTCGCTGGGTACGAGCCCACCAGCAACAGTCTGTGTTACCTGGCGTATGAACTGGCCATGCATCCCGATGTGCAGCAGAAGCTGCTGGAGGAAATTGACACTGTTTTACCCAACAAGGTAAGGGGACCGTGAGCAAGGGCGAAGACCCTCTGACCCTGCTGTCCTCCTTGTTCAATCAAGACAAGGAGAAATCCTTAGCTCCTAAACACCCTCCTCCTGGGATCTTCCAACAGCTCCAAGACACACTCTGAGGCAACTCAGCCCTGTAGTGATTTTATTTTGGCAGCTGAAGCCTTATGGGCCACCCCACTGCACAAATCCATTTGGCATACTCTGCATCCATGCACAGGTGGAGACAGATTTTCAGACATTTCCATCACTCCGGGATGGAAAGTGAAACCAATTGTGCAATTTCTACTTTGCATTTTATTCTTCAATGAGCCTGAGGCACGGTTGGAGCAGAAGGGTTTGGGGACACTCTGGTATCAGCGGTCATTTTAGGAAAACTCAATCCTCACGCCAACATACCTGGTCATCTTCCTCCTGTCATCCTACAGGCTCCTCTCACCTACGAAGCGATGATGCAATTGGAGTACCTTGACATGGTAGTGAGTGAAACCCTTCGACTCTACCCCATTGGAGGGCGACTTGAGAGAACCTGCAAGAGAGACGTAGAAATAAACGGAGTGACCATTCCCAAAGGAGTCATTGTTATTATCCCACCTCATACCCTGCACCGCAACCCTGAGTACTGGCCAAATCCGGAAGAATTCAGACCAGAAAGGTACAAAAAACATGATGAAAGGGAAGAAATATCATGCTGCTGTTTCCTCACATAGTAATTAAGTATTAATCTCTGATTAGCTTCCTAATGGTGTTCTTCGTATCTTTTTACAATCAATACCAATGAGAAATTGCAGGCTCATGGGAATGTCATTTTAAGAAGAAAATGAGCTTTGAACTTAAAACAGGGTTTCAGATGTGATCTTATTGGGAGAACAACATTGATACCTCACAATGCCTCGCACACAGTTTTTGGGCTTGTTGACAGAGAGCGGGTAGATGGTGAGTGGTTTTTGCACCTGCTGGCCATCTTTCTGTATAATCTTCATTGCTGAACCCATTCCCTTCCCCCAGGCTTTGCTACAAAACATACCAGAGTTGATCCTTCCAGAGTTGCCTTCCCTCCTTGTTTTCAAGAAAGTGATAGATATCTGTTGTAAAAATAACCAATTAGGGAAAAGCTATCTCCCATTCTCCAGCAAGACTGAAGCCATAGGCTGCTCCTAACCAAGACGATTCCTGATTTCTCTCTCACTAAATGCAACAGAAAGGAAATACCAGTCATTTTGGGAGAGCATCTAGATTTTCACATTGCTCCTAACCTCTGCTACTCTGGTTGGACAGCATTAAACTCAAACATTGAAGCGGGATCCCACCTTGTCCTGGACAAGTGCTCTGACACAGCACTCAATGGCTGGGGTATGCCAAGATACCTTAGCAAAAAGACACGAGTGTTTGTAGGGTACCAGCAAGAGATCTCTGGATAAGTAATAGATTTGTAGCTTTTGGGGTTTTTCTGCTGCCTTCACTTCTTTTCCCCATCTGTGTCATTATCCAGGTTCAGTAAGGAAAACAAAGAGGCCATAGACCCATATACGTACCTGCCCTTCGGAGCTGGTCCCAGGAACTGCATTGGGATGCGGTTTGCTCTCCTCACTCTGAAAGTTGCCATCACCATCCTATTGCAGCGTTTCACCTTCCAGACCTGCAAAGAAACTCTGGTGAGGAGCCCATTATGTTTTAAAACTCTCAGACGAAGAGCCATGTGCCTGGTTTCTCACTGGGGGTGCTAACACCAGATGCTTTGCCCTTTCAGGCACTATGGATCAAGTTATGTCCAAACCGTGGCCAGGTTTCTTTCCTCTAATATCTACTTATTAAATTTGTCTATCACTAAGTGTGTTTTTCCTCTTATTGTTGCAGATCCCTCTCAAGCTGAGTTCACAGGGACTCTTAAGACCAGAGAAGCCGATTATTCTGAAGTTTGTCCCCCGGACTAACTGCTGAAGTCGGTTCCCCCGCAGAGGTGTAATACCCAGCCGTGGCTTCAACAACTCTCCAGCATCTAACGAGCGCTGTGCCAACAGGGGGATCACACATCATGGGAAATCTCTCCCACACGTACAGACACAGAAGAGCAGCTCTAGTTGATTCTGGAAGCAATTACTACATATTTACTAATAAACATAGCTGTCAAAAACGTAATGTGGATCACTGGGCAGTGACAACATACAGTTCCCTTAATTCTGATTGCAGAAAACAAGAAATAAATCCAAATGAGAAGCTGATCATCCACTTCTAAGGGGACTTCTCCATCTGGAGAGGAGGAATTACTGTCACATCCAAGAGAAACAAGGTGTGATAGAAATTCAAATTGCCAGACCTTGCTGGGAAGGGACGGGTGACTTTCTTCTTGGTGTATCGATGCTTGAAATTTCATGTGTTATAATTGAGCCGACTGGTGTGAGACTATATCCTGGTTACCAAACCTCTCTTGTGCCATGTGTTAATTAAACTAAAGTGTGTACAAATACTGTCATTAAAAATGTTTGAGAGCTGCTCTGTGTTGTGTATAGCGGCTGATCACTTCCTATTTAAAAACTGTATTCAGCCTCAACCCTGGAAATTATCCGTGTACATTGCTTTCCACTTAATTTAATGAATCTGATCCTTCATTTACTGAGATCAAGCCCTCCCATTTGTACAGTATTTTACAAACACAGTAACTCCCACCTCTTAGCTTGATTAAGAGGTTGCCTTTGGTTCAGCATTGGCCAACCCTCTTCTGCACTGGAGCAACAAAGAATGGATTGCAGAGAGCAGCAGGAGCAGCTCACAGGAGGTGGTCACAACCACTGCTCCTGGAGAAATCGTCTGGACACAGCTTGTAACCAACCCTTGCCTTGTCCCACAGACAGAGATGGGGTTTATGCATTGCCCGTGGTAGGATGTTATCCTGCTGCAAGCTGCTTTTCCTCTTGAACTGCTCCAGAGCTTGTGCCCCATGGGCTGGTCCTGCCACCAGCACGATGCTTTGACCAAAGGACTTATGCCATCCCTGACCATATAAACAGGGAACCTGAACCTATAAACAGGGAAAGTGAAATGGAATTTCACATGACAGTTAATCCCAGTGTATTGGGCTGGTCCTGACACCTAGAAACCAAGAAACATGCTAGTAAAGTGGGAAAGGTTTTTAGAAGAGCTGCAAACCAGATTAAGTTACCCCTTAACTTTCTCCTGGCATCCTTCACTCCAAGGCAATACTATCCAAATCATGGTCTGTAACTTTCACCCATGGCCATGAATTTTTCTCTTCAGTCAAGAAGATAAAACTGTAACATGACCCAAATGACACAATCCAACATAGTACAAATTTATTCAAGAATTCATGTCCGTTCTTTAACAACGATGGCAATTAAGGGGTTTGGGAGTGTTCAGCCAACAGTGTGGTGGACTCCTGATCACTGGAAATCCCCAAATCAAAGCTATCCCTTTTTCAGGAAGATACAGCAACATTCACCAGGCTCTAATTCAAGAGTTAGCAGCTTGTGCTGTCCCAAAAGGCAGATAAAACAATTATAGTGCTCCCTTCTGATTCATCATCTGTGAAAAATCGTTTAGGTTTTGCTATGTACACAGAAAGGCATAGTTTGAAGTGCTGCCAATAAGGCCCTTCCTCAGTGTAAACTGCTGCTCATCTCTTAACAGGGGTTAAAAACCTTCAGTGGAATTGTTGAGTTTGTCTTACTGTAGCAGTGCTGCAGCCACCAACTCTGACGGGGAGAGTGCAATGCCCCTGCACAAACAGACTAGGTAAAAAATGCATTTTCCCCGTAGAAAGATAGCACCAGGTAAAACTAACTCTCAATTCAAGGAAGGGGAAAGAAAGGTGAAATCATCGTGGAAGTAGCAAGTCACTTACAGGCCAAACAGCTGCTCCAATGTGAAGAAAAGTCTTACTCATGAACAAAATCAAGTGCCTTCGCATGGTGCTCAGAACCATAAAGGGTTAACCTCACCGTACCCCAAGACACACCGTCCCTGCCCAGCGCGTGGCATCTCCGGGAATGAAGTCATTAGTGTAACTGTACAGATCATTCTTCTGAATGTGAAAAATGTGACTAATTCTCTGGCTTCAGCCAATTATGACCTGCCAGGACTATCATAACAGCCCATAAATAATCTGTAACAAAATCATGGTAATGAGTCTTCTAGAAGAAAATTAGATCCTCTGTGTCTCAACTCCATAAAATTACTTGGCTTATAAGGGCTGCCTCCGTCATTCCTAGCACTTTCCACTGCTTCGCTGGCCATCCCTCAGAAATGGATGTGACTTGGCCAAGGAGTCTACTGGTCCTGGTCGTTGTGCATTCATGACATTTGTTTTCACTGGTTTGGCTGTTTCCTTTTAAAACCAGACATATTACTGTTTAACTCATCTTTTGAATGTTTTCACTGATAAAACATATTTATCTAGACCTTGCCGATTCCTTTAACTGTTTCAGCACATCCTCAGCAGGTCTGGGACATTGTCTTGTCCCAGGAGAGCTGGGTCTTTGTCAGAGGAAAGAGCTTCCAAACACAGTACAAGGTAGAAACAAATTTTGGAGACACTTCTGTTTCACTTTCTCCCCTAAATCCTCCCAAACCCTAAGAAGGAAAAGTAAAAGAATGAAGAAACATCTATGTCACATCAATATTTTTTAAAAATATGCTTTTCTCAAAGATTTTACAGCCATTCTCAGAGAAGTTGTTGTCAAATTACTGTGCAAGAGTGACAGACTCACACCCTGGTAAAACACTGGCATCGCTCAGGAAGGCTCCTAAGTATGCAGAAATATATTCCCTTTAATACAGAAAGCCTTGCTGGGAACTTTCCAGAGGAGATATATACCCCACGATATCAGAACTGTTATTGTATCAGTGCTGAAGGAAGACAAAGTCGGTTTTAAGTGAGGAGATTTGTTTTCTGTTTCTCCGTTAACTACAGCAGACTAACCATCGATGTTACAGTAACTTGCCTAAATGATGTAATACTTCCAGTTGATTGTGATGATCAAATGGATTTTATGAAAAACAGGTTTCCTGCTTACAGCAGAGGAATATTTCATGTGCTTCACCAAGTCAGTTATTAGGTGCTTCAATACCAGGCTGAGCCCTGACAGATAGAAGAATGGCCTGACTATTACCAAACTAAATGTCCCTACAGTATTGAAGTCTTTTGCAATGCTGCCTTGCCTTTAAAGTGAAAAATGAAACATTTCCAGGCATATTTCACCTGAAAGGAAGAATAGGCAGCGTTGCTCCTTTTACCTTACCCTCTATTGATACTCTGGCATCAGAAGCCAACAGAGTCAGAAGGTGCACAAATGAAAAAGCCAGCACGCAGAATTTGTTTAGTTCTCCCAGTCCCTCCTCGCTCTCTCCATCTCCCTATTAGATGTAACAAGCCAGTGTGGGGAATCATCAGAGTATGACAGATAGCTTGGAAACATGGAAAACCTGTAGCTGAAATTATGCACTGACATCACCTTTATCTGCTGTAATGGAGAGAATTAGGCATATTGAATCGCTCACCATACAGATAGGGAATTTTGAAAACCCTTACTGTTGCACAAATGTTGACAGGATATTTTATTTACTGCATCATTAAAGGTTAAAGAGACTCGTTCTCCAGAGGATTCATTTTTTCAACCCTTAATATCAATTAAAGCTAATTTCAGCTCTACCCTAATGATTAACATAAAATATGGAAAAAGCTCTAACTGAGCATTTCTGTTCATTACTTCAATTCTCTTGTATTGCTCGGGCACTTTATAGGTACTGATGCAGCTTTATATCACCCATGACACAGTTAATTTTCCCCTCAGAGCTTTTTTTTTTGTTACTGAACACTTGAAGATCTTGCAAAGACGCACAAAATACCTTCGATGATATGGATCAAAGTTTTATTTAACCAGTTCATAGCTGACCACTGGTGATGCTCTCTGGGCTTTCCTACATGGCTGGGTACAAAGCCTAGATACAAATTTATTTTGTTACGTTGCTTACAGCTTCCGTGTCATATATATGATGCGTAAGCATGCTCTGATATATTTGTGCAGTCAGAAGTTTGCAAATTGAGTGAGAAGGAAGTTATAACTGTTCAAGGGAAAATGAAAAACCTTGTCTGCCACTTATGAACTGAAGCCAGTCCAGTACAGTCAGAGGCATTTACCCATCTTTGATTGGCAAAATTCTAGTTCCATCAACACTCCATGGAGTGCCCAGAAAAATAAGTTATAGTCCACCCCCTGGACTATATCAGGGCTTTGTGCAGCCCAGCACAGGTACTATGCCACAGCTCTTCCATCCTAGGCCTGTCCTGCTGGTTTTGCTCTGGAATCATAGGTAATAGGACTGGAAAACCCTTTTGTAAAGCAGACCACATAGACCAACCACCAGCATGGTGAGCAGGGTCTTGCACTAACTTGCCCCTAGCTTGTCTAACCTTTTCAGAACTTGTCTACTCGTATCCTAATTTTAGGGTATTTATTGTTATCAAACACTAATCTGGGATCGATCTGTATCCAAAGGTCACAGCAAAAGCCAGAGGGAAGGTGAGGAGCAATACAGATGCTCCTAAGAAGGTCAGCTGCTGCCACTCAGGCTGCTCTCCAGTGGTAACCACACAATCAGCCCACCAGTAGCCATAGCAACAACCATGGAAGCAAGCAGATGTCTGATGCTCCCAATAATTATAACAGACTCTAGTAGAAATCAGCAGGACGTACAAGTGGAGAACGTGCATTTGCAGATTCCCCTTGCCAAGAAATGAAGAGTGTTCTCTGTGCTGGTGGTTGTACTCATGTCCTGTCACATATAGCTTTGGCCCAGAACTCCATACATCTCCTCAGACAGGTCACTGACCCCCACCACTCTTGTTTTTCCCTCATCTTTTCAAGACTGCAGGTGGCTTTCTGCTTCCCCCTCCTGAATTTTCATGTTTAGCTTTCCATGACTGG